CATTTAGGTGCTTAGGTGCACTTTAAGAACCCTATGTGGTCGCAATTGCCCCAGCCTTCATCCATGGTGTCTCTTATAATACTATCAGGATTTTCTGACTTAAATCACTTAAGTTAATATTTATTTAAGCCGCTAGAAAAACGACCGTGGGGCGCATGCCCCAAGCGCACCACTTGTTTGAGACCAATGCTCTATATGAATTCTCCCGAATTCAAGTTTCGAATTCCAGCTTGTAAGAGCTGGAATAGTGGGTTGGCTGTTTGTTTTTAAGTTTAAGGTAGGCAAATTTTTATGCAAGCGCTTAAGTTGCTAACAAGGCAAAACTAACTTCTGTTATATTAACGCGACAGCGTTAAAGAGCTCGTTTAGCGGAAGTTGCGGTGTCATCGTTGGCGTCGCTGGTTGTGCACAAAAAATCAACGTTGTTCGTGAGCGAAGATTCAAAATAGATGCAAATCAACAAGGAACAAACACTTCGGTTTGATTCGGACTTACAACGAGGCCTTCTGCGTTGGGAGTATGAAGTACTCAAATGGAGCAATGTGCTGTCTTCACAGCAAACCAATGAAACAATAGCGGTCACCTTCACGATGACGCCGCCAGTAAGGCACCACCATTGAACTGTGAACCCAGCGTGCGTAATTCGAATTTCCATTACCAACGTTTGTGCAAATTTTTAGTAAAATTGTCACGTAACACGATTTGATATAAATGTATTTGTCAGATTAAAACACATTCAACACATATGGATGCATTAATGATATAGATAATGCTGATTCTTCGTAGTCGAGCTTGCACAATTCCTATAGCAGAACAGGGACATATATCGTCTGCTAGCTTACTGCTTTAACGGCAGAAGGGATGAAAAAGCGCATGACTAATCATTTGATCCATACGTACCCTAGCCAAGCTATCACACTAACTTGAAGTCCCGCAACAAGACAAACGAGGAGGTCTTGAAGGATAACGTTATCAGCGGGCTGGACTGTCACGTCCATATGCTTCGTGTATACGTGACTAGCTCATTGACCGCCCAGTGAATTAACCAACCGAACTCCTTCCATCCTCAGGCGAAAGAACAACCCGCAACACCAAACTGTCCCTATAGCCCAATTGTCTTCAATCTTCTGAAAGTCAGAGGCATTATCACAGAATAACCCCGCGGCGGTGGTCTAGTGGCTGAGGTACTCTGCTGCTGACCCGCAGGTCGCGAGATCAAATCGCAGCTGCGGTGGCTGCATTTTTGATGGAGGCCAAAATCCTGCTGGCCCATGTGCTCAGCTTTTGGGTGAATGTTAAAGAACCGCAAGGTGGTTGAAACTTATGTAGCCCTCCACTACGGCATCTCTCATAATCATATGGTGATTTTGGGACGTTAAACCCCAGCTTCAAGAATCTAGCTTCAAGGACCAGCTGGAAATAATTTTTTTCATAATGTAGAAGACCTCTAGAGACCATGCATGCAACTTTGCCGACCACTTGGGAATTATAGAGGTTATCAAACTGCGTTCCATCGTGATTCTTGGTGAGAAGGACCTCGAAGAGTACTGTAGGCGCACGTTCAGAAAACTCTGCATATAGAGACCACTTTTCCAGTGTCCACATCGCAGGTGAAAGAGAGAGACGTTGTAGCCATGGTGCATCGTGTAGAAGCTTTGAAAATATATCCTGTCGTGATTTATAGATGGAGTAGGGGCACACTTTTTCGCTAGACGAACAGCATCACAGCAGCCACAGCCGAGATAGTCAGCGCCGGCCTCGACAGCAAGAGCCAAGGGACCATTCAATGAGTTTCTGTAACAATGTGGGTGCCGCGGTCACAACTGAGTTCAGTGCTCGTGGTTCGCATACCGATCCACCGCTAAGGCCAAGTCTTGGAAGGCCCCCACATTCACGACTTCCATGCGTTCCAAGCTCATCATGAAAGTCATCATGCCAGCCAATGTGTCTCTTCCTGACTAGCTGTGGTGTTGTTTTGACTGTTGCCGGCAAGCTTAGCTCGAGGAGGTTATATACAGTGACCTACAGTATAGTTACTAGAGCACACAATACTAGAGAGCCCTAAAAACAACTTGCCGCAATCAGCGTGGGGTCGCAAACGGGGCACTTTTTCCCTCAAGCCATAACAGCACTTGCCTCACGCAAGTTACACCTGTTATGTCCCCCTACCCCAGCCGCGATGCAACTTTTGCACTCTCCATATCAAAGGGCTGTCGACACTCATGAATGAAGGTGGAACTTGAATCTACAATCTCCGCATGCGCGCGATACCATTCGAGTTGTGCCGTAGCGGCGAACACTTTAATCTTACGACCAGTGGCAGATGCCAAATTTTTTCATGAAGTACCTGACCCCTACCACATTGCATGGGACTTCCAGAAAAATCTACCTCACATCCGTCACCCAAACTCTTTTGAAGAAAACTATAAAGTGGCCCTACTGGGTTGCTCAGTCCTTCAGGCCCAAAAAGCCTTAGTCAAGAGTGCCAAATGACAGCTTCGACCAATGGGCTCCAAGACTAGGGACTTCAAGAAGTATGTAGGGCTCATACTTCTGATTTTTAATGAATGTTTTTTCTCTGCCTTCTACTTGTCTACTTCTCCGAGTGTTGCTTTGATATGTTTTTGTGTTAGCTAGCCCCATTCATGGCCATGGTCGTCAGCATAGAATATTGAGGCTCCACACGACTCTTATCAAAGAGGCGTTTATTTTTCTGTGTCGCAATTATTTTTTAACAGTGAAGTATCTTAGGCCGAGCATTCGTCCATGACGCAATTTGTACCAAAATGATCCTCAGCATGAGCCGGCACGCCCACTCTCACGGGATCAAATCCTGGCTGTGGCGGCTGCATTTCTGATGGAGGCGGAAATGTTGTAAGCCCGTGTACTCAGATTTGGGTGCACGTTAAAGAACCGCAGGTGGTCAAAATTTTTGGAGCCCTTCACTACGGCGTCTCTCATAATCAAATAGTGGTTTTGGGGCGTTAAACCCCACAAATCAAATCATCGACACGCCCACTCCGTTTTTGAATCGGCTTTTGATTTTACGAACCGAGATATGGGCGCCGAGTGATCGTAACTTGAAGCAATCAATCGACCGCTTATTAGATGTGAAGCAGCTTTTTGACTAGCTTGTGTAACGCCGTCCCTCCGTCCGCACCGCCCCCCCCCCCTTGCCGCAATTGTTAGAGCGGTGCCAAGTAGCTCACGCTCTCCTAGCAGCGCATGCTGACGTCTCTCTCTCTCTCTCACCTGCTGCGCGCTCGCAGCGATTCAGCTCTCTCTCTTCCCCCTCTCCACCAATCAAAACAATTGAGCCTTCTTATAACTTAGGCGTCATCTAACCTGCGCCACCTCTCTTCATCTGGCGGCATGAAGAAGCCGCAAGCCGGCGGGTGCGCGCGCGGCGCCAAAAATGAAGACCGCGCGCCGCTGCTTGCCACGCAATCGCGCCGATGGGCGGGACGCCATCGCGGCATGCTTCACGCTAGTGTACGCGTACTATTCCCGGCTGTGGCCGATGTTTGAAGGGCTAGCGAAGCCGATCGCCTTCGCCAATGGTGAAGTCAAACTGACAAGGCGCGAGCGAGGAAAACCGAACGCAAGCGTCGGCAGTGGAAGACCAGCGACACCGATGAGGTGCGAGTCAAAAACATCGATCACGTTCGAGAATACAGACGGCGCGGGTGTAAAACCAACGAGACGCGATCCGAGGAAGCCAAGTGCAAGCGTAAAAAGCACGTTCCACCCCCTGTGTATTTGCGGTTGAGACAAACGTAAACTCGAGTAAATGCTACACCAAGTTTCACTTCAAACCATTCTTTTAGCACCCGCGTCGATGCCCGTTTTAAGCGGGTCAACGCCGTGCGCGCCACCACTTTATCAGGGCTCCCTTCGGGGAGATGGTCCGTAGTTTTATTTCACTCGCGCAGGCATTTTGTGTGCAATCCAGAAGGTCGCTCAAGGTAAGCATAACCCTAAAGAAAGATAAATTAACTATTTTAAAAGACACACACCCTAACGATGAGCACAAGGCCGTACCTTCTGAGCTCCATAGTTTTGTGTTGTATTAGGTTTTAGCATAGAGCATACTAAGCTACTAAGTCGTAGCTTAGTATGCTCTGCACGTACATTATTGTAAGTGAAACTGTCATCTACGTGCCACTTACAACTCCGCTGTGCAACCGCTACAACTCCCCTGGGCGAACGCTCGTGTCGCTTCCAAGAGTGACCACAGAGTTCCTGCAGTTAGCCAGAGGAAAACTTGTTTTGCAGAGAAACGAAATCTTAGTAGCTTTGTATCACTGGTTTTCCGTCCGTTTTTTTCCTTAAATATTACAATTTGTACACACAAGAGTCCGCCACAGAACGCCATGTCGTGTCCACGTATGGCTCAAGTCCTGGCATAGCTAGAGGGGCACGCAGTTTTATTGTAAGCGATGCCTGGCTGGAGTCGTAGACAGACAGTACACAAGTACCTTGACGCACAGATGTTGGTGGTGGCTGGGTTTGCTTATTGTTTCTTGTCAATGCCAAATCTCATAACTCCACAAGCTCTAGATAATCTTAAACGGGTGACTTGGATCACGACCTGGCATTTCATACCCGCTCACAGTTTTGACCAACAAATATGTCTCTTTGAACGATAATCTCACGTCTAATAGTTATAGAGAGAACACCTATAGCGATCATGCAGAGATGGTAGCAAAGTACATGAAGCAGGAATGAACACATTGATGAGCCCACGACAGCGCGCTGTAAAGCGATAATAACGATATAACGTGCATCTCGACCACATTACCCACGTCCCCATTGCCCATTGCTGTATTACCTTGCGCTCTCCCACGCTAACGGCAGCGCCACCAGCTCAAGTAGCGGCTAAGAAAAGTAGAAACCAGAAGGCGTAAACAGTGCTCTGTTTGGCATTAAAATATCCGTGCAGATAAAGTTGAACAATTGCAAACATCCAGAAAAATATTTGCAAAGTGAAAGCAACTTACTTTGCACCATCTCGTTCTCGATGCTGGTAGCGTCGTGCCCGAGGGATGGCCTAGAACTGCGCCCAAAGCCAAGCAAGTCCAGAGAGTGTACCACCCTGTTTTTGGATAACTCGCCAATGTTCATCACCCATAGTGCGGAGCCGCAGCCAAGGCCATGGATCAGCACCAGCGGCATCTGTGCAAGCAGATTATAGGACTTTTGACTTTGAGAAGTTATACAGCTGTACGCACAGTTGCTTGTAGAAAAACAGCAGCAACAATAAAGATTGCACAAAATAACCAGGAATCGGTGCGAAAGTCTTCCTCCTAGCCTCACTTTAATATCGGCCTTTATTCCAGACCACCTACCACACGGCGTATCATACAAGCTTCACGCGTACATCTATCTACACAATAAACCCGGAGCCAACTTGTGAAAATTCATGCCAATTCTTGGTATGAGGTGCTTTGTAAAATATTGTGTCGTGCGCTATAGTTACATAACGTAATGTAACTCTAAGACTAATTAAATAAACCCGAAATTAAACTAAATAGCTATCTTCTTGTCCTTTGTTTCGCGTTCATCTTCATAACGTTAAGATTTTCTTTTTGCCATGCAAAATTGGCCCCGTATCTGCATGTTTCACAGCACATATCGTCAAAATATGATAGTCTTACGTCTGGAGAAAGTGAACAAAACGTTAATTCGATGTTCTGCACGAGGAAATTGGTGAATTGTATTCTGGAGGCGCTGCGTTACAGAGTCTCGATCCGTGCAGCGAAGGCGAACGAGCACATCGAGGCACTTTAGACACGAATGCTATTTGGCAGTTATCTTGGAAGACGAAGAAAGGCGTGCGCGCCTGTGTCGGAGGCAATGAAGTGTAGAACGCAAAGTGACGGGCCGGTGCCACCACCGTGTCATTTTAGCAAAGCGCTGGAAACACTTGCCTTTTTGAGCATCGCATTGCATTGTCAGGGCGGCGTGATAAACGCTATGGTCCTTAGAATTACCTATGTATGCCTTCTCTAGTATAAAGACACACATACAAATTATAGACATGTTGTTATGGTGCCTCGAATATGCGCATGCGAATATGCGCTTTTTCATTCACAATCGCACAAGTATGAACGCTGAAACTTGAGCAATATTGGTGGGTGCTGTGGATGGAGTTGGTCGTTTGGGGTATCGTTTGGTGTCGTTTGGGGTATCATTGCGGCGTACAAACAGACAGACCAAAATTTTTGCGTCGAAATATTCCAAGAAAGACTATCGTCGTTATAACAGTCCTGAAGATATCTGTAGCTTGTCTTAAAATTGGCCAATAAAAAAAGAAGGCAGTGTATCTGTTGAACCTGTGTAGTGATGTGCTTGGACATTTGATGGTGCCAGTTAAGTTCAGGCTGGTCTGTCTATTTTACTTCCCTGTCTTAACCAAAATAATGCAGTGCACTTGTGAGGCGTGTAAGGCTCGGTTTTATTTTGAGGTTGCACAGCTTCCCGTGGTAGCTTCGTACGTCAGCGTGCAATAACGCTGCATTACAAGCCCACGCGGCGTTTGCGACCATTGGTTTCCCGAAATGTGGAGCCGTCATTGCGTAAATTCACTGTTACAAGAGGAAGAAAATAGCAAGCAGTTTTTTTTAAAGTGCTGCAAAGAAAGAAAGAAAGGAAAAGGAAGAAAGAAAGAAAGAAAGAAAAAGAAAGAAAGAAAGAAAGAAAGAAAGAAAGAAAGAAAGAAAGAAAGAAAGAAAGAAAGAAAGAAAGAAAGAAAGAAAGAAAGAAAGAAAGAAAGAAAGAAAGAAAGAAAGAAAGAAGCTCCATGAGATGCAGTGCTTTTTCAAAAATTTCTTCTTCAGAGCTACTTCTCTATGAAGTGTTTTGGCATGAATAAAGCTGAAGTTTTCAAGCACCGTTAGCTAAAAAATAACCAAGAAAAAGGCAGTGAAATGTATCATTATTTATCAGGGAAATGAAATCCCCAAAGCCTTTAGCGCTGGCTTTGCCAACGTGCGGTTTTTCATGTACACGATGCCGAATAACTAGAGTGAGGATCTTCATCAGATCGGTCACTCAGAGATAAACTTAGCCCCATAAGTACAAGTGAGAACAAAGTATAAGCTGGGAACCCTTTCTTTTCAAGTAAATGCAATCGCCATTATCTAACTTAGTTGATAAAGCTGGCGACCTTTGACAAAATAAAAATCGCTTTCTTCCTGAACTTAGCTGCCTTGTGGCTGAGGCGGCGGGGGGGGGGGGGGGGTGAATTACATGCTGTATTCAAGTGAATGAAAGAATCGTAAGTGTGAGGGCTTGTTTTCTTTGTTAGACACAATAATAATGAGAGCCAACAGACAAGAGAGAGATAGTCACAGGAAAGGCAGAGAAGGTAACCAGGTTGTACGCCGTTTGCTAGCCAGCGGGGGAGGGTTAAAGGTGATTTTTCGCTCACAACCAACGGGGCCGACACCAGCGGCGGGTTTTCTGTGACACAAGTTCTTTAACGCTATGGCGTTAAAAAAAGTGAGTAAAAGATAAGTTGCAACCGGCAGCAACCGAACCAGCCGGATGGGTAGTATTTCTCATCCACTTTTCTTCACATTTTCATTACAACTACATTCAATGACATTCCCTATACTTCTCTTGGCATAATTGTTCGTTGGTTCTAATTAATATTGTGTTATATTCGAAGAAATTTTTAGGTTCTGAAGTTGAAAAGTGCAAGGAAATGATGCAAACAGAGGGCACGAAAACTGACAACCAGTCACTGCTACAGTAACTACCACCTTGTATGCCTGCACCCTGTCTCGAAGTGCTTCGAGAGAAATGTACCTCTGTCCCCCCCCCCCCCCTGTTTTCTAAATGAGCACCTACTCAATCCAATGGGTGGTGCTCCTGAAACTGTTTTCTAACATATAACGCGTTGCTTTTTTCGACATTAAGGAAGAATAATAAAGGTTTCTTAAGTATCTCGCCAACTTGATGCGATCAGAAAAGCGGCTTCCGACTAGGTGAAGTTGTAATTTACAGAGTGTTTCAAGAATTATATCCAACGTTAAAGAACCTCAGGTGGTCAAAATTTCCGGAGCCCTCCACTACGGCGTCTCTCATAATCAAATAGTAGTTTTGAGACGTTAAACCCCACAAATCAATCAATCAATCAATCAATCAATCAATCAAGAATTATATCCACTACTATTTGAAGATTACAAAAATGAGATATCTGCATGCTACTTGTGGTGTTATCTTTACTGTGGCAGAAGGCATCTTCAGATGCATACGAACATTAATTACGATGCATAGAAATCAAGACAATTCACTTTTTTTACTAGTGAAGATAAGCAGTCGAGTCAAAAGGGTGAACTTATGCCCTCGGCGAATAGTCAATATAGCCACTTTGAAAGTTCGAAAAGGCAGCAACTGGTAATCACCACGGGGCAATCAAATCTGGCTAATTTAGCATTTGAAACTGAAACCGACGAACCAAACAGTGCATGTACCATTCACTTCAAAAATGCCCTTGAAGATGACACTGCTTCCCTCGTTGTTATTAACCGTCAACCTGCACACTTCGTTCCATGGCAACGCCTTCCTGCCGCAAGGCCGCTAATCGACGCTAGCTGATCCTCTTCCCTCGATGGGAGGGAAACAGTGTCATCAGTGAGGGCGTTTTCGGAGTGAATGGTAGGTGTGCTGTTTGGTGCGTCGGTTTTGCTTTCGCCTGCATACTGCCCTGGTGGAATTGGAAACCCGTTCATCGTCCTATATTGACGAAACAGTTGTTACAAAAGAACTCTTTGTAAGTTCAAGGGGCAACAAACCACAATAATGATCTAAAATTGTTGTACAAGGAATGTCATTGAAGCCTGTTCAACAATTGCTCATCCCTTGAAGCCTCCATGTTACCTTGAACGTCTTGTTTTAAACAACTGCATACACCAAGGGAAAGAAAAAATACAGCCGGATTTCATTGCCCCGCGGTGATTACCAGTGGCTCCCTTTCCGAAATTTCAAAGTGGCTGTATTGACTATTCACTGGAAGGGCCTAAACTCACCAATGTGACTCGTCTGCTTTTTTTCCAATGATTAAAAAAGGTAATTGTTTTAATTCCTATAATTACTGTAGTAATTTTGTTTGTACGCATCTGAAAATGCCTTCTGCCATAGTAAAAGTAACGCCGCATGTGGCATGTACAAATCTTCTTCCTGCAATTTTCCAATAATAGTGAACACAATACGTCAAACACCCTGTATAACTAGAAAGACACAATGGGAAAGGGGAAGGGGAATAATAGCTGTTACAAATTTTACTTAGGATTCGCGGATAAAGAACAATGGTGACATATCGAGACATACACAACAAATGCTTATGTGTGTCTACACTCGTATAGGCCTTTGTTGTCTACGCTCCTTGAATATTAGATAGACCCATACCAACTATATAGCCCAGTTTTCGACTTAAATGCATGTTTGGTTGCCCTTTTTATGGGCATTTAGCGCAAAACTCAAATGCCTAGCATAACGCAGTCAATGCAATGCCTGGAAGATTTGTAACTTGCGAGTTATTTATATAGTAATGGTTGAAGTTTATTTGTGTTCTTGTCCTCATCAAAAACAAGCCACGAAGTTTCAGGGAAAAAATAATAACAGACTGTCGAAGCTTCACTGAACAGCAGCTGCGGGCTGCAACGTGGCGACCCGTCAAGTTCTTTGTGCAACAATTCATTAGTATAAAAAGCAAGCGTTTTTGTTAATATTATTTGGGTGCCCTAAATATTACACGTAGGTCCCTCAGAATCATCACGCACATTCATTTGTTGGCGAGCCTTTATACCGCCTAATTTCGGTCCGAAAAAAATGAGATTGAATTATCATTTATAAGATGTCAGTTTTAAGTAACTTCATTAAAATTTTCAATGCAGCAGCAAACGAGAAATGAATTTCTTCCGGTATTTCTGTATAATTATTATTTAATTTGTGTTATAAGGCACGGTAAATAGGTTCACCGTTAGGCAACGTTATGAAAAAGTCAATCCTCAGGCACGGATGAGTAAACAGGTGAACTATTGATTTAGAAAATAATCCTGAGAGAGCCAACAGTAAGCAAGCTGCCGGGTGAATTTTACACAGATGGACGTGGCAGATAGTTTACCTGCATAGATATCATAGCTAACTGCCTCACAATAACTCGTTGA